TTTAACGTAATAACTAATAACATTATCTAGATGAAAAAAAGTAATAACATTGCAATTATTTATATTTAGTGGGGGAGGTAATTTCGACGGCTATATAAGTAACAAATTTGTTTACATTTCACTGTAAAATTAATGTATCATTTAATAGTCAATTATATTATTACTTATTTATTGTAATATAATTTTGATGTCTGATCGGAACTGTAGGTAGGTACCAGTGCCGTAGCCAGAAAAAAATGTTGGAGGGGGCAATTAACTTTTTTCTTTAGCCTTTGAAATGCTATAATATCCAATTTTGACTCCTTTGTTCATAAAGTGTATCTACTGCTCTTTTTACATACTTTTCTTTAACTCGCAATGTTTTATTTCTGTTGTCATCAAATCTTGCGAGTTTAATTTAAGTCACTTCTACATGACTTAGGAGGCTCAAATTTTGTATGGAGGTCTAGGGTCGGTGACAATACATGACCCAGTTGTCAAAAAAAAAAATTAAATTATGCTTTCAAAAAATGTTTATAAAATAATATGACGTTATAATAATGTACCGAGCAATAATTTGATATTTTAAGAACTGTTGGACATTGGTGGCCGATAATGTGTTTTTTTTTAAAGTTTGTGTATAGTGTATATTTATTAGGTGCAGTGCCGGCGTTAGGATTCGCGAGGCCCCGGCCGAAATATGCTAACTGCTAGGTACAAACTACTATATAGTAGTATATATATATATATATATATATACTACTATATAGTCGCGTTTGTTGTAGTGCATGTAATATGCCTGATATGAAATCACAATAATTATCGTTCTCCTGAACAATTACGAAAATGTCACTTACCAAATCTGTGCGCTAGACTATCGATATGGTCATATGGTTGTAATTAAGTACTTTTTTTATACATAAAGGATAAAGCATATATTATATTTTAAAACAACTAGTAAATCATTTTTAAATATTTTATTTTTTTTAAAATACGTATAATTATGAAATACAACATTTTTTTTTCTCAAATTAATAATATTAAAATGTTTTTTTTTCTTGCTTTTTGTGATGTGAATATATCAATTATATAGTTGTAATCGAGGGACTCTACTATTTTATTTTCAATAAATATCAAAGCCAGTTTTGAAAGTTTATCTTGCGAAATTGTATTTCGTAAATAGTTTTTTATAATCTTCAACTTTGAAAAACTTCTTTCAGCTGTGGCTGATGTCACAGGTATTGTTAAGGGCCTGGTCGCGATTTTTAAAATTTTCCGCAATTCTATAAAATTTGAAAATTAAATTTTATATTTTAGTTGCCGCCTCAATTATAAGACTTTTCCACTAATCTACTACCCAATACCTATTTAGGGGGGGGGGGTTGAAAAGGTGTATTATATCAGTCAAAACACAGTTTACAGGAAAAACTCTCACACCTCGTAGATTGGTCCAATTTCCGAAATTTTTTTTTTGTTAGATAGAAGAATATTATTTACAGGGCGCATTGGACTTTGATTTTTGATTACGTTGCTAAAAATAAATAATAATACAAAAACTAAAAAGTTGTAAAAATGGATTAAATTCAAACTTTTAATATAAGATTTCGAAAATAATTTTGAAAATCCAAGTCCAATGCGCCCTGCAATACGTCTTCCTCTATTTAACAAAAAAAAAATTACGGAAATCGGACCAATCTACAAGGCGTAAGAGTTTTTCCTGTAAGGCATGTTTTTGAGCAAAAAAACAGGTGGCGACCAGGCTCCTTAATATAATTCTTAATGCAATACAAGTAATTGGAAAAGAACCCATAATTTTTTTAAGTAATGACAAAATTTGTAATGCCGTTTTATTGTCATCAATAATGTTTCTTAGAATTGTTAGTTCTTCGTACAACTCAATACCATAAATATCCTTTGAATCATCATCAGAAAGAATATTTTGCAGATCTTTGCAATTTTTCATCAAATCTTCATTATTCATATTTTTTAATTGTCCAATTTCATACAAGAAGCCAAAATTATTATTGAATGTATTAAATTGGAGAAATCGTTCATTCATTTAATTTAGCGCTTGATCAATTACTGTATTAAAAAAATCATATTTGAATTTAAGTTCAGCATCTTCAATTGAATTGTCAGGCCCTTTGTAGCTAAAATGTGACTAACCTAACCTAACCTTCAGGCTAAAATGTGACTTTTTGACTATTTTACGAGTTTTTTTAAATTCTTTATTGATATCGAGGTCCTCTGAAATTTTGTTAGCTGTTATTTTTGCAGAATGAAATCCTGAATTATGTTATTTTTCAAAGAATTGTATTAGTCCTTTTGATAAACTAATAGATACTTCCAGTTGCATATTTATACTTTGCAAACTCTTACTAACAACATTTACTTCCACTAGAATTTCATACCAGATCACTTAACTTATCACAAATTCATAGCTATTTAATTCATTAATAACCAAAGGATGGGCTTCACTTTTTGTTTTTGGACCATTCGTTGTATTTGGCACTTCTTCCAAAGCTTCAATTACACTAGGTGATTGAAAACGTAGAGCTTTTACACAATTTACTCTACACTCCCAACGAGTATCTGATAGTGGTTTCAAAGTATACATATTAGATCACAATATTTTTTTTAAATATCCCAGCGGCCAGTGGATGACGAAAATAAACAATAAATTCTCTGAACTACACCAAAAAATGAGATAGCTTAAGTTGAACTTTTTGACAAATCTCCAAGTAGTAAATTTAAATTATTTGCAGTGCATGGGGTAAAAATGCTCTGGAACTTAAAGTTTTAATTCGTGCATGTGCGCCTTTATATTGGCCCTTCATGTTGGCGCCGTTATCGTAGCACTGCCCTCGGCAGTTATTTATATCAATGTTGTTGTTTTTCAATTTTTCTAATAGAACATTTGTTAAATTTAATCCTGTAGTAGATTCAACATTAATGAACTCCATAAACATTTCTTTAATTATTGGATCACTATGCTCATTATCGATATCCATATCCACAACTCTTATTATTAGTGATAATTGTTCTTGATGACTAATATCTGGTGTGCAGTCCATCATAACAGAGTAATATTTTGATTTTTGTATGACATTCACAATTCTTTTTTGTATTTTATTTGCTATCAATGTTATAAGTTGATCTTGAATATCATGACTGAGATAATGATCATGAGTTTCTTTACATTTAATTCTTTTTACATGCTCAATTATTATATTATTATATTACAGGGTCAAACTTAGCTAAAGTTTCAATGTCACCAAGAAATTTGCCATTATGTTTAGTATAAATAACGTCAGATGACCCTTTAAATGCATCATTGTACTTTGCTAAGTAATGAATGCCAGCCAAAACTCTTACAAGAACATCCCTCCAGTGTTTTTTTCTTTTTCAATTTGGCTTAAGTATTGTTTATTTATAGTATTTAAAGTTTAAATTCGTATTTTTAGTTCCATCCATGTTTTGACCATCTGATTATGAGCAAAAGTTCGTTCATGTTCAAAAATTTTTCCGATAAATGTTTCCAGTCACTTATTCCTTCACTAGCCAATCCACTTCTATTATTCAAATTACTTGGTAAACTTGTTCGAAATAGTTTGCAGCAAAAACAAAAATCAGCATCCTTACTGATTGAATAAACAATCCACACACGATTAATTATTTCTCCATTAGGCATAACACGGTTATAATAGCTTACGTTAAACTTTCTACTGAGCTCATTCTTTGGAAATTCAAAATCTAACACTTTTTTGGGCCACATTTAATAATTTCTGATCTTATATTTTGACTAATATTTACAGGCCAACAGCCGATATCGTCAAACTCACTAAACATATTTTTTTCATCGTCTTTTATTATGTTAGATTCATCAAAAATATCAGAAAAAGATTCTTGGATTTCCATGTCTGATTGTATCCTTTCTTTATTTTCTGTAATCAGTTTATCAGATTCCATACTATTATCTGAATTATTATTTTGAATTTCCTTTTCCCCATTATTATTTTCAATTGTATTTTTTGCATTCGGTAGTGTGGATGTTTCTCTAAGAAATTTATCGAAGGCACCGTGTTGTTTTAATAAATATTGTTTTTTTTATCTTGTTTTAATATTTTTTGATGTCCAGATGGATAAAATTATCACTTTCACGACGCGTTGACATGGCGAATGATGATTGAAAATTATGAATCTGATGAAATAAAGGGAAAGAGTTATGCTACAAAAAATTTAATGATAAATACAGTATGCTAAACAGTAACCTATAGTATGATTGTATGAATACCTACATGGCTACATTTCAAATTTTATATCTCATAAGTTATAACTAGGGCCTTGAATTATATGGTATTCTACAAAAATGTCCGAGGAAAAAATGTCCGAAACCAAGAATGTCCGAGTTAAAAATGTCTGAAACCAAGAATGTCCGAGTTAAAAATGCCCGAAAAATAAAAATGTAAAATTAAATTAAAAATATAAGTATCGAAAAATAATAAAATGGGAACACTCTGTATATGTCAAATATACTAATAATAAAATGGGAACACCCTGTATATGACAAAATACCTGACTACCTGTAAATATTTATACCTAGGTACCTAATTTGTAATTGACATCATGTTGCGCTGTTTATCGGTTATTACGATAAGATTATCGCAACAATTTTTGTCAACGTTTAGGTGATGGCCAGTCCTGAGTTTACAGTTGAATCATTTAAGTGTGCGTGTTATTTTATTTTATTTTATTAAATTGATTGAAATGGCCGATATTATTAAATCAAATAAAAACCATGACAAGCTGTGTTTAAATGGGTATGCATATATATACCATACAACACAGGCTGAAAACCAAAATTTGTTGGCATTGTGTCAAACGCAGTTTGTTAAATTGTTCTGCGTCGCTAACTACGGATTTATTAAAAAATAATCCTTTACTGATTAAAAACCATTCATATTCAGCTGATCTCAACGAAATATCAGTCACAAAATGCTTAGCAGAAATGAAAGTACGATTTATTACTTTAAACTAGTGATGGTTCAAACCCTGATTTTTTACCGAACCTAACCGAACCTAGATCATTGTAATAATAATGTAAAATGTAATATTATTACTAGAATAAAGCGACAACCACTGACAAAACTCCATCAACTCGGTTTTCTGAAGGAATAGTTCAACTGAATATTGATTGTAAATCTAGAATGCCTCCAGAACAATTAGTAAAAAGGACACTACGGAATAATAAAAAATCTTATCACCCAATAGGTATAGCTGATCTTGGTCAATTGAACATATCAGGTATAATATAAATATATAATTAATGTTTTATACATTGTATTATACCTCCGTGTATTACAAGTTTATTGTAATTTTACAATATTATATAATATATAATATTATTATTTATTACTATTATAAATGATAAAATAATACACAGATATACATATATAGTATATGAAATTTATTTTATGCCATTTAGACGAATGGAGTACCACTGGGGAACCAAACCACGAACGATTCCTACTGTATGACAATAACAATGAATCGAATGAACTTATAATTATTTTTGCTACTGATGAATGCTTACGTTATCTTGCTGAAGCTGACGAATGGTACATGGATGGGAATTTCACTTAAGCTCCAACTTTTTTTCAACAATTGTATGTTATTCGTGTACAGGTCCGAGGCATTTTTATTACAATTATTTTTTGTTTGTTACAAAACAAGAGTCAAAAGACGTATGAGAATGTTTTTAATATAATTTTAGAAAAATGAGCTGATATAAATTTAAATCCGTGTCCTAATGTTTTAAACATTGACTTTGAAAAAGCTGTCATTAATGCGGCTAAAAATATTTTAGACACCATATAAAAATTCAAGGATGTTTCTATCATCTGTGTCAGTCAATCCATAGAAAAATCCAATCATTAGGTCTTGAGAAACATTATAGGGAAAACGAATTCTTTAGTACATTTTGTCGAATGCTTGATGGGTTGGCATTTTTACCAATAAATGACGTACCAAGAGGGTTAATTTATTTAAAAACAATTATGCCACAAGAAGCTAATGAGTTGATGGAGTATTTTGATTCAACTTACATAGGGGGGAGAATTATAAAAAATAATACTAGAAGTAACGTTATTAGAAGAACCCCTGCTGCATTTCCTCCTTCAGTTTGGAATGTTCACGAAGTTACGTTGAACGATGGCCAGCGCACTAACAACCAAACTGAAGGATGGAATCACAGGTTTTCTAAATTAGTGAATCGATCACATCCAAGTATATGGTTACTGATAGAAAAGATGCGATTAAAATTAGGAGTCGATGAAGTTAAAATTGGGCAAAGAGATATTGGACAACCTCTGCCAAAAAAAAAATGTATATTGGTATGCAAGAAAAATTAAAAAAAATATGTGAGGAGTACAAAAATAACGAAAGAAGTATTGAAAACTTTTTAAAATGTATAGCATTGACTTTTATAAATTTTAATTAGGTAATATTATATAAACTATATGAATTTTTTTTTTTTGACATTTTTAAATATACGACAATAATGACTTTTATACATTTTAATTAGGTAATATTATATAAATTATATGAATTTTTTTTTTTTTTTGACATTTTTAAATATACGACAATAATGACTTTTATACATTTTAATTAGGTAATATTATATCAATTATATGAATTTTTTTTTGACATTTTTAAAGTTTATTTTGGTCAATTTTAAATTATATGAATTTTTTTTTTGATATTTTTGAAATTTATTTTGTACAATTTTACCATGGACATTTCTGGTTTCGGACATTTTTTCCTCGGACATTCTTGATTTTAGACAATTTTGCCTTGGACATTTTTACCGTGTACATTTTTTCTTCAGACATTTTTACCTAGATTCTATGCACTAAAAGCTTTTTGAACTATTAAAAAAAAACATACAAATGCACATAAATCCTGGCCTTAGTTATATCTTATTAGCACAAAAAGAATATTTATATAATTTAGTTTATTTTGGGTATGAACAATATGAACTATGTTTATAATGTAGCCAATGTAGTGACATGATATGTGAATAGGTACGCGATTTAAACGTGAAACACGCCTTAGTGTGTAAACATAAAGAGCCGAGAGCCCATGTTAATAAATTTCCAAGATAAAAATCATATTATTAAATATTATAATTAAATTATACTATTATAAATATTATTTTAAAACATGGGTACGCCGTACGCACATATTGTCATCGAATGCACAATCGAAATTTCTATTCCAACAAAACAACAAAAAGTACTAAAATGAGATTAATTAACCGCTCTCAACAGAAAAACGGCCTTGACTTTTTATTTATACGTATAAAAACATGCGTACCTATGTAGGTTTTTGGTGCAAATATTAATTATGAGTATAATAATTAACTACCCTTACCACTTACCAGTTACCAGGTCTGAACATTAGTTATGGCATATTGGCACACATTCACGTGTCGGCAGCCGGCAAAGAAAACAATTAAATGAACCTAATAAGTTTTATATATTATAAAACGTGGCTTATTCCGGTCCCCTCCGTCAAACACGGATAAGATAATAATATTATTATACAAATTTGCAGTGGCGGCTCGTGTGTGCTGGTGGTGGGGGAGCGACTTTAAATATAATAACGATAATCATAATTATAACAAATTATCAAATTAAATATAATAAACTGAAACACAATACACACATTATTATTTTAAATCTTAATATTTTATTCATAAAATTATCATAGTAATATAATATTAGACATTACCTAGTATATATTTTATGGAGTTATTTTATGAATAAAATCCATCCGCCTGTTTTTTGTTGATGAAAAATGTTCGATGACCTTTTTATTGAATTCTATATCTTCTGCAATCATTTCACTTTGAATACTAAGAATAGATAAAGCGTTTAGTCGATCTTCTCCCATGGTACTTCGCAAACAAGTTTTAATTCTTTTTAACGTTGAAAATCCGCGTTCAGCTTCCGACGATGTCATCGGAATAACGACTTATAGTTTAAGTAATATAAGTACTTCCTTAAATAAATCGTTCATATTATTTGATATTATATAGTCAATAGTAGGAATAATTCCTTTTAATAAGCGAAAATCATCACGGCTATAAATAACCTCAAGTTCAGTTTTTAAACGTTCTTTTGTAAAGAAAGGATAGCAATTTATAGTTTTTTGAAAATAATCAGTTGGGAATTTTTCGTTAAATTTTGGGTAATATTCGTTTTGAAAAAGCAACGCTGTAGTAAGATGTTCATTAAAACTAAAACGACCTTTTGCTTGAGTTATTAAAACATCACATACTTCTAAAGCAATAGTTCTTTTAGTAATATTTGGGTCTTCGCTAGTTTTTCTTTTATTTGAATGTATTATTTCTGATTGATTTAAAACTGTTGAACAAATTGATGACATAGGTATTATCACGAATTTTATTTATTTCATTTATAAATAATGTTACTGAGTTATTTACTTGAACAGGGTCTGTTTTCCTAGCTTGGACAGAACTATACAAACAGTCAATATGTGGCATAATTTTATGAAAAATATTCAGCCAAAATATAAAATCAGTATCTTCTAGAAGCCTTTTAATACCAGTGGCTTGATTAATTGTTTTAGCTTAAAGATGTTTCAATTATTTTATCCATACAAATTATCAAATCTTCTCTGTGTTCAAAAACAGTATTTACGGTTCTTGAATTAAAATTCCATCGAGTCTGTACTACTCTTGGCATACGAACACCGACTATTTCATCTAACACTGATACCCTCTGTGGTGAATGAGAAAAAACCACTGGTATTTCAGATAAATTTGAAAAAAATACACGAACTTGCTTATTTTTTGAAATTGATTGTATCATAATGAGATTCAATTGGTGAGCATAGCAGTGAATAAAATAGGCGAATGGGTACTTCTCTTTTATTTTAACATTAACACCAGCTTTGACCACTCATAACCGCTGCACCATTGACACGGCTACTTTGGTGTGGTAAAGGAAAAACTCAAGGTGACACGAAAAACAGAACAACACACGAGTATACAGTATTAAGTACTTTTATTTATCGTCAAAACTCTTCATAACAATGCGGTGGTAATTCGCGGTATCGCGTACGGAACAAGACAGTCAGCCCGGCCGGCGGCGAGGTCGTGTGTCGTTGCCGACGTCCTAGTCCCCTCCACATGCCATCCGACTGTAGCGCGTCGGCGACACCATCGTATGACTGAACAATCAACTTATTAGGTGATTTTTCTAGAAGTGGATCAATTAAACCAAAAATAGTTAGTGATAATGCTTCGGCATTATGTCCATTTGGATTCTCAAAACCCCAAAAACGCTCAACAGGTCGACCTTGTACTTCGTATCTAAGTATAAGAACCAACTGAAAAATATTTGAAATATCAGTGGTTTCATCAACAATTATGGAAATAAATTCTGATTGTTGAATTTCATTTACTATTTTATTTCGACATACTGATAGAATAGAATCCAACAGATCACTTTGAACTGTTTTAGAATTTCCTCTAAAAACAGTAGATTTTTCAAAATAATCACGCAAAATAGAGTCTAAATCAATACAAAGGTCGAGTATTCCACGAAAAACGCCCTGATTTTTTGAAGAAGTTTTTTCATCATGACCTCGTAATGGTAATTCGTGTTTACCACAACATTTAATACAATTTAGAATTTTATCTAGAACATAGCGATTTTTGTCTACTAATTCGTTATGGCGTTGAATACCTATTTTATAACCAATATCAATTTGATGTCTTATATCAACTTGTCCTAACAAATTCAAGTTTGTTGCATTGTGAATATGTTTGAATGAATTTTCATGGTTAACAATTTTTGCATTTAGATGTTGCAAATCGGTGACTCCTATTTTAGTCCAAGCTGTTTCACCACCAAAAAGTAAACAAGGAAAACAGAAAAGAGCTTGTTTTATTTCACACATCCACATAGCCATTTATTTTTGAGGTATAATGTTGTATTAAAATTCCGAAAATATTCATTTTTTCCTTTTTTGTATTGAGTCTTTAAATCTTTTAATTCCGGTAAAGGCCTGCCATCATTTTTTATGGTTAATTTTTGTTCCAACGATAATGATGAAAACTTTATAGTTATTAAATTATGAACAGAATTCGACATGTTGAACTAATTAAAATTAAAAACAATATAAGTGTTAACAAATAAATAAATATAATATTTTATACTTACAAGACGTATCGACGTAAATACTTAAATATAATATACATCCGACTACACGCAGGTCGCAGTAGAAAATGAAATTAAAATAATAATAATAGCTATTAGCAACCAATAACGCTGTTAATTTTAAAAATAAAATACCTAAAATATATAGTATATTTATATATTACTGTATGGACGACGCTGCCGGTCGTCCAATACCCGTGTATAAGAACGCAGCTTAAATGTACCCGCACGCACACGATTGCTAGGCCTCGCTTAATCATGCGTATTCAGAATATTGCTAGGACGACGCTGCCGGTCGTCCAAACACTGCTCGTGTATATACGCGACCCATATGCTCCTGGTATCTGAGAGAAACTAATTTAGTGTTCGCACACTATAAATGTATTATAATTTATAACTATTTTACTATTTAAAAATTTGCATTTTTTAAAAATGTAAAATTAAGAATAATATTATACAATTAATTTTCATAATTTAATTAATTTTAGTAGGGGGTGCGATCGTCCCGTCGTCCAAACCACGAGCCACCACTGCAAATTTGTGAATAAAACGGTGAGCTGGTGACAGTTTCTTTGTACCGATGGTCGGCGATTATCGTAATGACGTAATAGCCAGTAGGTACCTACATTCAATTCAAAATTCACGAAGTCAAAATAACTATTTATACATTATGAACCGTTCGATAATGATTAAGATATAATAAATACCAAATATTTTTCAATTCAGATAAAAATATTCTCATGAATTCTTATTCTTAATAAATTCTTCTTTATTATCACACAGTGTGGCTGTTTGGGTCAAACAAAACCAAGATATGAATTTAAAAAAATGCTGCCAGTATATACCCCACGAGCCCCTCATAGAAGCGCGAGGCCCCGGGCAAGGGCCCTGCTCGCCCGCCCGTCGCGCTGGCACTGTTTAGGTGAATATTATAGATAAAAATAGGATATTAATAATATCACCGAGACACAGAACAATATTATTATAGATAGGTACTCGTGTTTCAATATTTAATTATTTTATACTAGTTCATGAAGCATGAAGGAAGCTCTTCAAGAATTTCTAAATCGAAATTTTCGTAGGAGCTAAAGATATGCTTAGAACCAACTTAAATGTATCTCAAGGACTTGTAAATGGTGCAATAGTAAATATGACAGAGATTAACTGGCCCAATTTTGTTAGAGATCAACTTTATGATGAATGTATACCAACATCGATTCGCGTCGACTTTGGAAGAGATGGTATCCATAAAATCGAGCCCATATCTAGTCATTTTCCTGCGATGCGCAGTTATGGTACGGCTGAGCGTAAAATGTTGCCAATAATTTTTGTCATGGGCAGTAACCGCACACAAGTTACAGGGCTCCACCGTCGATCATGCTATCGTTTATCTTGGACCAAGGCTCTTTGCAAAAGGACAAGCTTAAGTTACTCTTAGCAGAGTGAAATCCTTGCAAGGCCTCAAAATTGAAGAATTAGACTGTTCAAAGCTGATGGGAAGAACACCATGTTATATTGACATGTAAGTATATAATGTAAGTATTTTCCCTTGAATACAATAATTATTATTATCTTCCACCAATAAATTATTACACTAAATCTATATGAATAATTGTTAAAATTGTTAAACACATATGAAACCATAAATTTATATGTTTACTTAGGATAGTCTACTATATAACTTGGGTCTCTAGTATTTTCTATTATTTCTGCTAATTTCCTACATTCTCCATTACAGTGATCATTCATAAAAAGTTTGAGGTTTCTGGTTATTTTATTTTAAGTTTTATGATCGTAACGGTTATTTAATCTTTTGTTTGCTTTCAATATGTGCCAATTAAAACATACTGACTCCATCTTATTTTCCTTAAGGTTATACATATGTACTTCTGTTTTTAATATGATATTTAATTCCTCAATGAATCTAAAATAATATAATATGTGATACCAATAATGTTTCGTTTTTACGAAAGAATTCGAAATCCATTATAAAAAAACGGATCCACGAGCTAAAATAAAATATATTATCTAAAAGTTATTAATATTATAATTTCTTCATTAATATTATTGTATATATATGTTTATTTCCTGGAACTATTCTTCGTATATCTGTTCGATCACCACACCTTTTGTGAGTAGGTAGTTGTTTTATTAGTAAACCCAATTCTATACAGATAGGTATGTTGTGGTCCGGTCATTCAACTACCGCGCGTACGAAATCATTCACATGTACCATAAAGGTAGAAACACACTACTGTCACGTCACGTGAAATCACGTTGGCGTGTCATAACCGTGATCAGCCGTGATATCACGTTTAGAAATACACTATTGTCATAAACTCGTGTCATGTCTTTCACCATTTCGCAGTAGGTACCTATATTTAAACAGTTGGCACTGTATATTTGATACGAGCACTTGTCAGTTTATATTTTAAATATGGAAAGTTCGAGTTCATCAGATTCATCAGATTGGGAAACTGTTGCTGCTTTTGTGGTCCTCGATGAAGACGAGAGAAACAAAAGGTCGACAAGAACATGGGTCCATGATATAAATACCAAAAGAGAAGAGTTGGGTGAGTTTCGAAGGCTAGTTCAAGAGCTACGAAACGATTCGAAACGTTTCCATATGTATTTTAGAATGACAATAGAACAATTTGATTACATACATGAACTTATTAAAAGTGATATATACAAACGAAACACTCAACTTCGAAAAGCCATAACTACTGAAGAAAGATTAGCTGTTTGTTTAAGGTATGTAGGAAAAAATTATACCTTATACCTTATAGATATAGATATTTTTAAAAATCAAAATAATTTTTTAATTAAACCTTTTTTAAAATATAAAAAAAATATAAAATACCTTTGTAAATAACCCTTTTTTAAAATATAAAAAAAATATAAAAATACCTTTTTAAATAACATTTTTTAAAATATAAAAAAAATATAAAAATACCTTTGTAAATAACCCTTTTTTAAAATATAAAAAAAATATAAAAATACCTTTTTAAATAACATTTTTTAAAATATAAAAAAAATATAAAAATACCTTTTTAATTAAACCTGTTTGAGATACAAAAAAAAAAATCAAAATACTGTTTTTGAATTACTAAAAAATGTATTATTATATTTCACTCGTAATCTTGCGGAGGAAGAGACGCCATTTCGAGTAATGATTGCCTTTGATGTTGTGCTGAAGTAGTTGAATGTTCTCCACTAGAGTAATAAGAGGGTGATGTAGTAGGTTGTATTGTACTTGATTCCGATGAAATAGATTGTTGTTGTGGGTAACAGGAATAACCAGGTGTGCCAAAATATGATTGTTCGTTAGTTCTTATTTCAGCAGATAATACGGAATTGCTCAATCCAAGTTTGATTCGTGATTGTTCAATTTTTGGCAATTGTTTGGTCATTTTTGACATACTTAAAAAGAACATATCTGTGCGTCTAAAGTATTTAAAAAGTCAGTTTTAGACGAGTCTGAGTCTGAACGTACACTTTTCTCTTCAAATCGGCGTTTCTTTAAAGCCGTTTTTTCCTTTAAAATGTCAACCATTTGTTGAACTGGAGTAATAGGTTGAGATTTTTCTTTTTTGGTTCGTTTTATGGCTACGTCATGGTTTTCCATTGACTCGACATCGTTTAGAGTTGATTTATCAATAGCCTGGAAATTTCGTATGACTTCCACATCCACATTACCACAGTTTTCTGATGGACTTGGTGTATCATTTTCTACAAACTCGTCTGAAAAATCACCTGAATCAGCCACAACATCGATAGACGCTTGAGACTCGTTCAAGTTTCCATGTGTCCTTTAATAAACATTTTTATTGAAATATAAAAATAGATACAGAATAATATAATAAATATAGTATATTATAATACGTACCTAATTATTATAATTATTGTGGGTTCGTTATTGTGTGTTTTTAATTATTGATTTTTTAGAACTACTTTTTATTCCGTAAAGCCATGTAGGTAGTGGCATATTTTTGGGGGAAAATTTAGGTATAAATAGATAAAAATAATTATACTCATATAATATATTTATACTCACTTTTTATTTTCTAGAAATGGTATGATGAACGACATTTGATTTTCATATTTCCAAAAAGTTTTTTTTTTGGAAACCATACCGCTCTTGGTATTTTCACGGCGCCTATTTTTTGCATTAGTGAAACATCTTCTTAATTTATCCCACCGTAGTTTGGCTTCACTTCCTGTAAAAAATTGTGGATTTTTTTTATGAACTGGGCACCGCTGAAATCAGCTGCACTACTACATCAAATGTTATGTATCCCTCTTAGTATTTATTTTTGAAGAACATTTTTTTTAATATTTATTTCTAAAGTTTATTTATTGTAATGTATATACTTAGTTAATAGTTTAGAAATTCACATTGGCCAGCGTATTGTTTAAGCTTATTATTTATTCACATTAAAAGAAATACACTGATTTTTATTTTACGAAATATTCGACATTTCATAGACATATTAAATTATTATTTTTCTTCGAAGTTGGTTTCCTAACTTACGTATACATATTTTTATTTTAAGTGGATGTGAATAGATTTTTTATATTTTTCAGATTTCTAGCCACAGGAAATTCATTTAGAAGCATTGGCTTCAGTTATAGATTAGGATTTAGCACTGTTCGTGAAATCGTTCAAGAGGTTTGTCAAGCAATATGGAAGAGACTAGGGCCAATTACAATGCCACAACCGACGGAAGAAATGTGGAAAACTATTGCCTCAAGATATAAAGAAATGTGGAATTTTCCGAACTGCATTGGTGCTATTGACGGCAAGCACATTAATATTCAGTGTCCGATCAATGCTGGATCCACATACTATAATTATAAAGGCAGTCATTCAATTGTACTCCTAGCTTTAGTTGATGCTGATTATAAATTCATTGCGATTGACGTGGGAGCGTATGGAAGAAACAGCGATGGCGGTATTTTGTCTAATTCAATAATTGGAAAAAAACTACAGAGTAAGACGTTCAATATTCCAGAACCAGCCCCCATAATACAAAATGGACAACCACAGCCATATGTCATTGTTGGCGACGAAGCGTTTCCATTGAAAACCTACCTACTTCGTCCATATAGCAGAAGTTATTTAGAGGACAACGAGCCCAACAAAATATTTAACTACAGATTGTCACGGGCCAGGCGTGTTGTGGAGAATGCTTTTGGGATCCTGGCTGCACGCTGGAGATGTTTTCGAGGACCCTTAGAAATTCAACCAGAGTTTGTAGATAAAGTTGTACTCGCATCATGCTGCCTTCATAACATGTTGTGTGCAGATAATGCGTTTGAACCAGACACTGAATCACTTCAACTTCTAGAATCAGCTCTATTAAATATAGATTCGTTAAGAAGAAATAGCACTCGCGAAGCATTTCAAGTACGGGACTATTTTAAAGAATATTTTAATTCAAATGTTGGTAGTTTAGTTTGGCAAATTGAGAGTGTTCGTAAGGGAAAAAAACAAACTTAATTAAAAATTATTATTATTTATATATAATATCAACAAATTTACCTAACATTTTTAAAATGTATTTAATATTCTAGTAAGCAAACAATACTTTTATTTTTAATTAGTTACAGATCGTTTATAATATTATAAGTAATAGTAATATCTAAATTATAAAGTTATCTTTTTGAAATAATAAACGTTAAAAAATACTACAATCGCGATTTAATAGATAAAAGTATTTTTACATGGCCACAATACTACAATCTGGTTATTTTTATTCAGTCGACAGGCGATAAGCAGTACTGCCCCATTTCATAGTTATTTATATACGTGCACATATCTTTCAACCATACACATGTGTATGGTTCAAAGATATGGCATAAAAATGGTATTATTTAATTATTATTGTGTTGTAACATTATAAAGTAAAAATGAAATCGCTATAATATTATTAGTAATAATAAAATTATGATATCGAATCATTATGGATATAACAAACCAAAGGAACAAGAAATAAAGAAAAAATAACACATACAAATAATTTTTAAAGTGCCATATTTTGAAGTGTTGTAGTGGGACAGTAAAAACATGTACTCTCATACGAAACTATTAAATTAAAATTATTACTGTTGTATACAGTAGGTACTGTGTTTATTTTAACGATTTATTTTATATTATTTTGTTAGAAAGTTTTGTTTGGAAAATAAAACATACCTGATATTTTTAGTTCTTGACCAATTTCTTCCCAAGCATTTTGCCGAATCTGTTGATCTCGGTAATCAGGTGACCCATGGTCATATAGAGCATTATGTTCCCTAACCTTTTCAATAAGCATTTCTTCCATTTTCGAATTTTAAATTTTGAACGAAATAGTATAAAACACTAGTTTATGTGTTGTCACGTGAGTCACAAATGTGCAAACTTTCAGAAAATAGAGACGTGATTTCATGCATGAGTTTGGTAACGTGACGTGATAAGCATGACGTGATAACAGTGTGTTTCTGATGAATTCAAATAATATGTAAAATGGCACTCCGCACTTTTTCCCTGTCACGTGAGCTCACATGACAATGTGTGATTTCACGTGACGTGACAGTAATGTGTTTCTACCTTAACTCGTTCTAAAACAAGTGGTTGAAAGGGGTCTGTCATATTTTCATTTGCCCTTCTTATGTGCCTTCTGAAACAGTGTAAAATGACTGTTTCCCCATGAATAATTTGAGTGTGGTAATTCTGTTTTAAGTTTCCGAAAGAATTCCAATGTTTGCAGTATCAGTTGAACTGAGCGAGGTAGAGGTTGTACGTTTTCATTCACTTTTTTTATATTTTATTTCTACGTGTATGTTTTAAATATTTTGTTTCTTCTTATATTTATATGAAAACAGTTAAATTTATTTATTACTTATTTATTTTTCTACGTTTTATTGCATTTATTTTGTATTTATTATTTATTTGTATTAATATATTACGTATTATTTTGTTTTGTACGTTTTTATATTATGATTTATTTTATGTGTTTATTTATTATTAATTATTTATTTACTAATAAATTACTTATTTATTTTTTTGTTTTGTACGTTTTATATTATTTTTATATTTTTATTGTATTTGTTCGAAAAGGTGATCGGAAAGTTCACATAATTCTTCACTTATAATTTACATATTGGTATTATTGATTTGGTTGGGTGTATATTATTAGGTAGAAGATATTCAGTTAATGGAATCATCACTAATCTAAAAGTACAAATTATAATTATATTAAAACTAAACAATATATATTTTTTTTTTTTCCTAGAACCACCTATCATTATCTAATATATGTTATTATTATTTATTATATTTATATATGTATATTTTTAATCGACTTGTACGTCGTTGTAATATTTGTTAACATTATTTCTGTAACAGTAATGCCACGTCGGCCTCGCTGTATAACTACATTCTGGTTTCCTAGTACTGCTGTGACCTCGTAAGGTCATAGCCAGATTCGATCGAGTTTTGTTCTATGATTAGAATAGATTTTATTAGATCGAATATATAATCGTCGTAGTTGTAACGTGGTTCAGGTTCGGCCTTCAATTTAATCGGTACCTCCAATGTACGTCAGTAAACTAATATGTATGATTGAAAATTAGTAGATGTATGTACTGTCGAATTATATACGAAGAATGCAAAGGGTAATAAATGATCCCAATTATTTTAATTCTTATCTACATAATTTCGTAAATACTCGGCTAGAGTCCTATGAGCGCGTTCTACGGGGTTACCCTGCGGTCTAAATGGACTTGTGTTAACCTTTTCTATCTTTAATATTTTACAAATATTTGCAAACGTTTAAGATAGGAAATTAATTCCTTGATCTGTAAGTATTGTTTCTGGTATACCGTGTACACAAACGAAGTGTGTAACAAAAGCTTCCGCGACAGTATTTGCCTTCTGATCAGTAATTGGATCACCTAAAGCAGCGGTCGCCAACCTTTTAGACCTAGCGGACCACTAAGTCCATACTCCAAATTCTACGGACCACGTATAGCTTAAAATAGTTTTTACATAAATACCGTTCCACTATTGATAAATTGTACACCAAATTAATATAAAAAAATACACATGTAAAATAGTAAAAAAGGTTTTATTTGTATTTATAATGAAAGTTTTAAGTTTTAATTAAATTTTAATGTGATATTTGTTCCTGTTTGTTTTGAAGAATTTCGTGCAATTTTGGCTCCAATGTAGTCACTGCAAGTCGTAGAGATTTACTTATTTCTAGCTGAGACCGGTACCGTGTCTTAACAACTGTGACCGAAGAAAATGTTTTTTCATATAAATACGTAGTTGAAAATTGAATTAAGATTTTCATTGCTTTTTCACTCAACAAAGGGTATTCATTTTTAACGTACAGCCAAAAATGGCTTTTTGATAATTCCAGGAACTTAGTTTTGAGTGAGGAGTCGGATGATAAATCGATGAGGCTTTCTTTTTCGCTCATATTTAACTTGTTATTTTTACTGTTTGCTGCAAATGGATCTGTTATCCACATATTACCATGTCTAGGGTCTTCTTTTTTTGGGAAATAACGACAAAAAGATTCTGTAAGTGATTCTAAATGCTGTTGAACAATAGCTACCACTCGCTGGTTAACGTCCTTTTCTTTCATATATTCATCAAAATGTTGAAACATTTGTAGATCCTCTACAGCCAACCGTGTTTGCCAAAGTAATATTTTTTTTTGAAAAGCATCCATTTTGTCTCGTACTGTGAACACGTCCTTAAGTTGTCCTTGAATGGATATGTTTAATTCATTTAACAGCGGAAAAATATCTGCCAGATATGCAAGTTTGGCTACCCACTCATCATTGAATAAAAGTTCTTGAAATTTCACATTATTTTGCTGTTGGAAAAATAATTTAACTTCTTCACGTAGAGTAAACAGTCGGGTTAAAATCTTCCCTCTCGACAGCCATCTTACATCTGCATGAAGAAGAAGGTGTGTATATTGGGAACCCATTTCTTCACAAAGTGACTCAAATAACCTAGAATTAAGCGCTTTGTGTCGAATATGATTTACAATTTTCATAACATCGGATAATACTTCGTGTAGTTCTGGGGACATTTTTTTTGAAGCAAGTTGCTCACTATGCAAAATGCACTGGGTAGACAAAATATCTGGGTGACCGACATTTTTCACCTTTGCGACAATGCCTGAAAGATGTCCAACCATGTTTGCAGCACCATCTGTACATAGATTCCACTCAATTCCGTGTTTCTGAAAATAACTATCAAGTGCTTTGAAAATCTCAGAGCTAGTTGTTCTACCCGGCAAGTATAGCGAACAAAGAAGTTCTTCCTGTAGCCCTCCTCCATACTCAACTCTCACAAAACAATGGTTTTATTCACACCTAAATGTCCACCTAGTTTTGAATCGTGAAATTGTAATAAAATGATTGCTTTTTTTTCTTCACTATATTATATATTTGCACATATAATTATTTCTATATCTGTTTTCCGAAATATGTATCTGGTGGAGCGGAATATGATCACATGGACTGGAAGGAAGTATCGGAGAATAGAGAAGAATTTGAAAGGATTTGTTCTATGGTCAAAGGCCTTAATATAAAAAAAAAAAATAATAATAATAATATAGCATAGGTTAGGTACAGCTATGGGTTCTAGCTACTCTTTATATTTAAGTTTTGTATTACCGCCTAACAATGTAGGCATACCAGCATTTTTGGCGACATTATTTTTACTAATAGGCGAGAATTGATTTATGTACACATTGCTTTTATAATTTGTAAATGAATTTTGAGTACTTGTGGAAGGAGAATTACCAATATTTTTATTCTGATTGGGCAATTTATAAACTCAAAAAAGATAGTTAATAGTATAATACTTTCTTACCTTGAGTATTTTTTTCAATATATGTTCTATTAACTGACCAATCGTGTTTACTTTTAGAAGGGGAGTATAAATGTGTAACACTTTTTCTGCAAGATTTGTTATCTATAAAAAAGATAAGTACCTTCTAATAAAGTATAGAAAAAATGATATTTAGTAAGACATATACCTACCCCTATAGTTTACATCTAGTATTCTTTCCAACATTTTTGTGACAAGCAATAGATACCTCATCGAATTTATTGCAACTTTTCTCTTTAGGTAAATGTTGTAACTTATTGGACTTCAAATAACAGATTTTTCTTTTTTGTGTTGTGACAACTAAAAAATAATAGTTGTATAATTTAAAATAACATAATTAAACAACACAAAATAATTTAAATGTTCATAACACTTACCGGGTAATGACTTAAATGGATGTTTTGGAAGTGGTGGAATAGAAAAATTAGATAATTTAGATGTTTGACTTTTGATCATTATGGGTGATAATATACTCTCTTTATTAACCCTTTTATTTGCAAGTTTTCTGCGTTTTTTTTTTTGCAACACTTCATCAATCTCAAAATTTAAGTCTTCAGCTTCAGATAATTTCAAGGCAATTTTTAATTTTTGTTTTGCCCTAATAAAATTATCTAAATAATATTAAAAATAACAATTCATTCTTTGTATAACGCACATTAATATAATTTTTTTATAGAAAATTTTTTCCATGAAGACTCATATGGAACGGTATTAAGAACCATTTTGTCATATTGCTTAGAGTTTCTATCGTCTGCGTAAAATGTTTGTTTCTGGTTGGACGATATCCAATTGCGAGGAACTAGTTGAACTTCATCAACGAATTCAACAATTACGTAATTTCTAGAAATAATTATTCTTAATTAAATAAATGTTTTTTTATAAAAACAATTTTCTGAAAACCATAGGTTGTATAATAGTTAATAAATAAATAATATTAAATAGGTAGTGTTAAGACTTTCTAACCTCATAAATTTAAGCTTTTGTTATTAATTTAAATTCCATAAACTTGGTCTTTAATCATTGTCAATATGTAAAAGTGGAGAGGCAGCATAACATTCAAAATTTATTTCACACAAGAAGTATTTTGTGTAAACATTATTTAAAGGCCATGTTTTTCTTATAGAAAGATTTGAAACCATATAAATACCCAAATGAGAAGATACACAAAGTTCAGTATACAATGGTTTTATTTCCAAAAATTCTTTGCCTAAATATACAACTTTCTTTATTTATTTTAGAGCATATAATATTCTCAATAATAACTATTTTCCCTGAAGTTAGACCACAAATATTATTTGCTTTCTTTTGAGTTTGAATGTCAATTTTTTAAATAACAAAGTTGTTACGGAATAAACTAAATATAAAAAGGCTTTTATCAAAGCCAACAAATAATGACTGGTTAAAACGGAACGGTTTGACAGATGAAAACCACACCGAGTAAAGGCAAACGGCAATACAGCGGTGTGGTATGCATCTGTCATAACTAAATGCACGGACCAAGCAGCGACGGACTAAGTTATCGAAAAGGGTATATATACCGGACGATTTCGATAACTTAGTTTTTTTAGTCCTAGTCTTAGGACATTCAAAAAGCCTTTGACAAAGTATGGCACGAAGATCTAATATTCAAGCTGTTAACAATGGACGTATCTCATCAACTTATCAACCTTCTCAGATCTTTCCTCCTGAACCGATCATTTGAAGTTAGGATCGGCAACTCATTATCTACCCCAAGAACAATTAGTGCAGGCGTCCCTCAAGGGTCGTGCTTATCACCTCATTTATTCTCGGTCTATATTAATGACATGCCAAAAGAGAAGGAAGCCAACATCGCTCTCTTCGCAGACGACACGGTTTTCTTCGCTTCCGGAGCAACTAACAATGCAGCAATTTCAAGAGTCCAAAGACAAATAGACCTTGCAATACCCTGGTTCAAACAATGGAAGATATCACTGAATCCATTAAAAACCCAAGCCATCATATTCACAAATCGATCCACTCATCAATCCAATACTTTGCATTTTGGAAATACTTCGGTCTCATGGTCCAATTCTGCGAAATATTTGGGAGTAACTATAGACAGAAAACTTAATTTTGCAAAGCACTTAAAATCATTGGTTCAAAAAGCAACTGCAGCCAAGTTCTCACTATTTCCTCTCATCAACGAACACAGTCCTCTTACTCTTAAAACAAAGCTCTACATATACAAAGCGTACATAAGACCAATCATTTTATATGCTTCTCCATCGTGGACAGCGAACATCTCAAGCGCCAGCTGGAAAAAGTTAGAAGCGTTCCAGTCCAAAACGTTGAGAACAATTACAGGCAGCCATTGGTACGTATCTAACCATACAATAAGATCGTCTTTAAATATATCATCTATAAAAGACTCCGTTAACTTGGAAACGTACAGAACATTCCAAAAAATCAAAAACTCCAACTACGAACACATATCCAACATAGTTAACAGAAAACATCACAAAGAAATATTCAAAAAAAGACCCCTAAGCTTAGCATAATCATCTACAATTAACAGCCAACAATTACATGAAACTACTTGAATCTCTCTGCAAGAAGCGCACGCTTGATACAGAGCAAACTATAAACAAAGCAAAGCAAGCAATAACTTAGTCAGTCCACTTCAAACCTTCAAACTGTCAGCATCTCCAAGAAACGTTCCGACAGAAAGAAGACGAGGACCAGAAACCGACCGCCGACTACCGACGATAATACCGCTCCACGGTTGAAAGCATCGTCCAGCCGCCGAAGACCGACTACAACGCCACTCCACGGCTGCAAGCTTCGTTCGACCGACGATCACGCCGATCCCCGGTTGCGTGCACCGTCATACCGTCGAATATCGACGACAACGCCGCTCCACGGCCGTAAGCGCCGTTCAACCGCCAACTAACGACGATACGCCGCTCCACGGTCGCAAGCATCGTTCGATCGACAACGCCGGCACCATCAGTACCAACCAACCACGTGGCTGCCGCTCAACGGCTTAAGACCCATGTCAATATATATTCCTGCAGTGACGACGCCGACCAATCGCCAACCGCCATTCATCCATCCAGGCCTGCGGGATCACCGGATAGTCCGACAACTCCCGGCGTTACAACATTAAATGGCCTTTTTCAGGGCCAACACACCACTGACATCGGCACTTAATTAAGTTGTCCGACCCGAGTTTGGTTCGTCGTCGGAGTGCCGCTTGACTTAAGTCTGCACCGACGACGGCCGGCTCCCCAGCCGATCATTCACATTGTAAATATATATTATAAACCATAATCCATTATAAAGATAGGGTCCGGCGATTGCCCGACCAATACCCAAGCGCCTCCGATTGTGCCGACTCACTTACTGGAGTCTGGTCGGCACAAATCGACGCTTTACTCGCTCCAATATTGTAAATATAAACCATAATTCTACATAACAATAGAGAGACTTGATTACTGAACAAACAATCGTTATTTTATTTACGACGCGGGTCGTCCAATCGGACGCACCGTATCAAAGTTGAAAACCGAAAATCTGAACAACTATTTAAAAGTGAACCATTGGTGTGAGGGTTTTTTAAACTTATGTTATCATTATATAAAAAAGTCATAGTTTCTTCTTCTCGAAAACATGTGATCTCATGAATCCTTCGAGCAATTTGTTGAAGAGGCTTGTCATCTTTCCGTAAAAGTTTTTTTTATTTTTTGCATAAAATGTTCAAATTTGAAAGTACTAAACATATCCAATGATCCGAAGTTTCTTACATCTTGGACAATATGAAGTAAGCCATGAACATTATGTGAGATATGATAACATCCACAAATAGTCTTAAAAGAGGTAACAAAATGTTGAAGTAGCTGGTGGGCATAACATAAAATTTGGTGCATCGGTGCATAATTTTTTTGAAGAAAGAATAGTGATTGCAACATGTTAAGTCATAAAATGATTGTATATTTCATCAGACAAAACATTTTTTAAGACAACTGGGCCACTGTAAAGCAAAAACTGTCTAAACTCGGTTCCTTTAAATTGCTTAAAACACTCTAATGCCCTATGTTTCCTTTGAAATTCTAAAGGCACATATGGGTGTACATTGTTTTTTAATAAATTTGAAATTATTTTAATTTTTCGAAATTGCAATCTCACTCTAAGGCTATCACAAAACCATAAATGTATAAGGTTTTTAACAACACCTAAGCAAATTAAATGCAAATAGTCCAAAGGCACATTAGTAACAATAATGGAATTTCATCAAGAGCACTAGCACCTAAATGATAATTGTCATCACTCTTTAAAAAAAAAATCATGATCCGTTCTGTCTTTTCCTGCTTTATCTGAAAAACAAATTCTTCGTTCATAATATTCACCTTCATCCCAGCATTTTGTACAACTTGAGTACCCGGTATATCCTTTGACATTTAAAATAAATGATTTTGCTGGTGCATCTGCACAAATGAGTTTTATCACACAAGGTAACTTTTTGTTGTTAAAAAATAGAACATTTTCTATAACATGTTTGGATTCTTCGACCAATCTTTCTAAAAAATAAATTAGCACTGTCAGGTTTTTTAGAATGTCCATGGTAGATTCCAACAATAAAAATATCTTCAAAACCAAAAACTGGTCCTAGAATTGGCCATAGTTGACTGCCTGAGGATTTGCTAATTGGAAGCCCATCAATATTGATAACCAATTCAATAGTTCCACTTATTAGATGACCTTTATATTTCAAAAATTCTTGTATTCCATATTCCAAACTATTATGCCAATAGTAACCAGGATAAACTTATTTAATAATTGTAGTTCTAGGCGTATTTAATAGAGATCGACTGTCGGATGGTAAATCACTATGACAAGAATGAGTCTTTAAAATGTGAAGTAATCTATTTAAAGATTTATGAGTAATCTGTTCTGTAACAGCCCAGGTTGTTATTTTATTCCTAAAAGAAATTTCATTTTTTTCAGACAAGATATCTTTTTGATTAGATGTAGTTGGCACAGGTAAAATACTATTTGATTGTAACAACTCATTATTATTTGTACGACGATTTGGGGGGTTCTTCGAAAGAATAACTTTCCTCTAAATCATTGTTCAAGTCTTGCAATGAATCTGGAGCCATCTATTGGTCACAATTAGGAAGAATAGATGTCTCAAAAGACTTATTAGTACTAACATCTGGAAACAAATTTTCTGTTAGAAGTTGTGTATCATTGCAAATCCTTCTTCTTAATTGCCTAGCTGATATTTCATTACCTGGTCTTCTAACTCTAAGTAAAAGTTGATATTATTAATTATTTTATTAATTAACTATCAAATTAAACAATAAAACATTTTGTTTCGGTCTAAATTTTAGTAGTACTAATTATTGTAGGTTTTATATATATGCACAAATACAGTAGGTCATCCAATAATTTTCACTGCCTAGTACTTTCAGTTATCTAAAACATGTGCATACACAGACACACCTATAAACGACCTTACCTTAAAATTAAACTTAATTTCAAATAATATAAAACAGCGCTAAATCATTTATCATTAACATATTTTTTGGTGTGTAACATAAGCTATACTAATAAATTTATTTAAAAATTGGTACCTAGTGCATTATACATGGTTATCAGTGGCAAACCCAGGGGGGTGGACCCCGGGTCCGGAACCCCGCCCCCTTGGCTTATGTCATAGTTTTATTTTTATTTTTAAACATTTCCGTGAAATGTTCATCGAAACGTATTGATTAGATTGATTATTAGTTATTAGATTAGATTTGGACATTTGGTTTTTTTGTTGATAACATGTGGAATCCGATGCATTAGATAATATCATAGGTAGAACAATAATATTATCAACGATTGTCGATAACATACTATATTCAACTACGGTTTAAGATAAAATATATACGTATGTCATGTATCTTAAACCGCGTTGCAACACTGTCTTTCTCTAATACCTATTGTTATCATGCAATCATGAACCAATATATATTTATTATCAGTGTTACTTCTACAATCAATATTCAACATTCATAATTTTTTTCCATAAATGTTGTGATGTCGTGTAGATACTTGGGTTTATAATTTTCCATATTCGTGCAAATACGTTAATAATATTATATTCAGCCATGAAACGCAGTATAAACAACTTTTTTGTATCGAAAGTGATTTGTAAGGTTAATTCAAATGTAACAATATTAATGACAGTGATATTTTAGTTTCAAATTCAAAACTAGTTACAGCTGTACCAGATAAAGATGAACAAAATATTATTTTGAGTAATCCGGTGGCTAAAAATCACAGTATATTTGATGTAAAACAATATATTGATAAACAATTGACGAAAACCGTAAAAACGGAAGCATTAAATACAATTTGGACACCAGGTAAAAATTAGGATTTTCCTATTACGCTTTATGGTAGTAAAAATTTAAAATTTCAACTCTCTTGGTTTGATAAATGGAGCTGGATTGCTTATAGTAGTTTAGATGATGGCATTTATTTTGTTCTCCCTGTTACATCATGTGAAGCGGAAAGAACATTCTCGTCACTCAAGAGAATAAAAAACTATTTAAGGAACACTACTTCTGAAAATAGATTGAATGGGTTGGCTAATCTTAATATTCATCGAGAAGTCCCAGTTACAGTGGAAGAAGTTATCAATATATTAACTGAAAAAACGGCCATTGGATTTTACACTTTAAATAATAAGACTTATGACTATACCATAATTTAATTGGCATAATAATAATTAATTGACATACATTGTAAATATAAATTAAAAAATGTAAATAATATAATTGTGTGTTGTATTTATTGGTCTCACACCCGGTAAATTGTATTTATTAAGAAATTAAATGTATGTATATACTAAGGAAAAGGACATCAAACAGTAGTTAAATACGTTTTTTTGGAGCCCCCCCCCCCTTGAATAAATCCTAGTTGCGCCACTGATGGTTATGTAAAGGCTAATATGAATTTATAATGAACTTATTGTTACAAACAAATGTCTGCCTAACAAAAAAGATAATAAAATGAACCAACTGACTATACCTACCTATCTAGACTGTAATATAAGAGTATTGATTCTTATATAATGTAAATACTGACATAACAAAATAGTGGGCAAAATAGACTTAATTTTTTTTATTAAACATAATTTTTGGGGGTGTGTAACTAACGCTATATCTTGATTTACCTAAGATATGTGTCTTGAGAGTCAGTGACTGTAATATATATAGAGTTAAATGTTGATTACATAGGTATATTACGCAATAACTAAGTGATCAGTTTTAAGTCTATGTCCTAAATAATAAATATTATTGAAGTATATAGGTACCTTAATCCCATGATTGCGACATCTTCTTCAACTTATATCTCACATGGTTTAAATCTTAACTATATGCCTAAATGTAAAAACAATAATATAATATACTAGAATTTTAAATAATAAAAAGGTGGGCAAGTGGGTGTCGCTCTGCTGTACAGTAGGTTACAAGTGGGTCACAGTATAATGGATGATATTAAATTTGAATTCAACGATATAATATCATTGTATAAGAAAAACGATTCTGAGCGGAGACGGTATGTCCGTCGAGGTATAAGACATATTATATACATATCTATGGTACTGTAGCGAGCTGTGACTATTTCTTAAATAACTATTTAACAATATAAATCTCATTCTAATATTATGTACGTAATCATATAATAGACGCGCCTCGTAAATATAATATAATAGTAATACGCGAGCGTTGCTCGTGTAAAAGTCAATAATAGTAATAATAATAATATCGCTGACACCATGTATACAGTACGTGTGTAGTGGAGCGGCGACATCATATATACAGCGCGAAGATAATAATATCGAACGCATGACCATGAACGGCGCTCGGCAATAGATATATGACTACGTATATAAATAATTCTAAAATATTGTGAACTAGGATTTGTGCTGTTATACCAAATGACAAGATGTTATCTGATGACATCCGGCGCGTGCAACGACGACCAGGTGACAAACCCCACAATAGGCCTAACCGCAGGATGACCATGTATGGTCATGTGAATCTGTGGAAGGGACTGGAGAGACCTATCGAGGAGAGCTGATGGACAAGCGTTCATCAGACGAGCAACCAGCCTCAACTTGTACATTCACTAAATACTCACTAGTCACATCTCGCTTAAGTCAATAAACATAATTATTTGGACTTAGAATATTTTCCATAACACTGTTTACATTAAATAAATACAATAAATATCATCAAAGAGGTTTTGTTCAATTTATTACTTCCATTTCTACGAGTAACGCGGAGTATAGCACGTTACAAATTGGCGCTGTGGACAGGGTGTCTCAAAAAGATACTTAGAAGAAACCTGAAGAACAATTAAAAAATGTTCATCTTCTAAATTCAATCAAGGAGGGAAATCCATCACTGGATCACCGTTGGGAGCCTGTACACCTTCCAACAACTCCGAGAAGAATCCTGTACAACTTCATATTACAACTACTACAATCAACATCAGTCAAATGGAAGCACCCGCAGTACCCGTCGAGTTGTTGTGAGTATTTAGAGTAATTAAATCGTTGTTAGTCTCCTATGGTATATTATATGACCATAGTATATATATAAGTGAAAAATATAGTCGTGTTAAATTAAATAAGAAAATTGTTGGAAACTTTGAATTTTTGTGTTAAATAAAATACATTGTGAAGAACTTTAAAATTTTTTTTAAATAAAATAAAAATTGTTAAACCTTAGATTTAAAATAATAATAAAATAAAACAATAAAATAATAATTGAATAAATTGAAGTTTTAATTTAAAATAATTTTTTTTTAAATTGTTTAAATAACTAATAAAAAAATAATAATACATTATAACTTTAAAAAATCTTTAACTCTTTTGATTAAATAATATTTAAATAAAATAATTTAATAGTTGTTTGAAATTTATTTTTAAAAATTAAATAACATTGAATAGAGTAATAATTTTATTTTACAATAACGTCGCGAGTTAACAAACTTTTTAAATATAATAAATAATAATTTAATTTCGTAGGAAATTTTTCAATCATTTAAATAAGTTAAAATAATAATTAAATTTTAAAATAAATTTCAATCATTTGAATAAAATAGAAAATATAATTTAATTTAAAAATAATTCTACAATCATTAAATAAATAAAATAACAGTTTTAGTCATTTTAGTCATTTTAATAAAATAAATAGAATTTTATTTTAAAATAATTTTCATTTAAATTAAATTAAATAATAGTTTTTTTTTAAATAATTTTCAATCATTTAAATAAAATAAAATAATAATATTATTTTAATTTTTCCTAATCCTTTAATTAAAATAAAATAATAATTTTATTATTCTGACTTTAAAATTAAATAATCATTAAATAAAATAATAACTTTATTTAAAATAAATTTCAGTTGCTTAAATAAAATAATTTAATAGCTTTCGGAACATTGAATTAAATAATAACGTAATAATTTATGGTAAGGTGACTTTTTGATCCGCTGGGGACTTTTTGATCCGTTTTGAATTGGGGACATTTTGATCTGTTTTATAAAAAAAATGGA